AACGTTATGACAGGACAGGCCGACTGTCAACAACCTCTGAACGTGCCCGTGACGTCTCATAGACGAGGGTAAGAGTAGCTTCCCTTTGACAAAGGGCAGTTACTCTAGCGGACAGACCGATGGATTCCCGTGAAAGGCAAGTACAAACAATTGTTGTTTTGCGTAAATGTTGCTTCGCCACTGTATAAGAAACAGATTTCAGTTGGAGTGAGTGAGTGAGTTGAGTTTAACGCCGCTTTTAACAGTATTACAGTTATATCACGGCGTGTCAGCTTAATGTGGGAGGAAAGCCGGAAGTGGTGCAGGTCTCCGACGTGTACCACTTCGGTGAAATCCACGAGCACGGGTATAGTGCTGACAAACCTAGATACATAAACCGGGCGAACCGGGATTCGAACCCATACTCATAGGTTTCTGGCGTGCCCAAGGGACGCAACTCTGCACAGCGAATCGCGGCGCCTTAGACGACTGGGCCACCCGTGCCCCCGATTTCAGTTGGAACTATATTGGCTACTGTCACTGTCCGACTGACACATCACTTACCCTGTGACGTAATAAATATTAATGCGCGCATTCCAGTAAAACTCGCAATGTTTCGGTAATGTTTGTGAGAAAGGGGATGTGATTTTCAAGCACAAAATTAAAGAATGACACTATATGATAAAGAGGTTATCACGCTTGTGTGTTTGGGGATGGTAAGTATCCTGTATTAGGAATAAACACTATGTATTTAGCTCAACAAGGCTCGCTAAATACAATGTTTATTTCTAATGCAGGATATTTACCATCCCCAAACACACTCGCGTGATAACCTCTCTATATATATGGCAATAATCTTGGACGCGACGTTACGTCACGTCACGTCATACCTCATGGCCACAACAACAGGGGCCACCTTGAACTTGTTTTCTTTGTGTATATATTAATTTGATTTTGCAGTTGAATGCTCGCACCAAAATCAAAGGACTGTTGAAGGTTGTGAGATGGCTGTGTGTGTACATAACCTCAAAAGCCGTCACACGTCATCTTGCCAGATTCTTGCCGTGATACAGCTTTGACTGACGGATTTAATTCATGTCTTCATTTACCATCAACATGCACACGTGATCATGCATCTCACTCTGGGGCTTGCAGTTTTACCAGCACGTGACGTGGAATATTGAAAGGCTAAGATGTATTAACCCCCTGGCCTCTCTTTCAGAACTTTAAACACAGAAACACGAAAATGTGTAAAATTCGCACACCGTTTTCGAATTACCGTTAACATATATCCTGGGCATGTTCTCAAGTGCAAGGGTCTCAAGGTCACAACATCGGCTCGCTGTTTGCCGAAGTTAACCATCTACAGAATGGACGCTACAACCTGTTACAAACACACAAATGGAATTTACACAATGGTGTCAAGGTATTCTGAAGAAGGTGAGCATATGCTGTCTTACCTTACAGGAAGTAACCTTCTTGAATGGAGGTCAAGGTCACACCATCGACTTGCTATAGCTTGCAGAGTGGAACTAATACCCAAAAGAAACTACGCTCACATATACGTTCAACTATACAATTACGCATATATTAAAACTACAGTAAACTACGGTTATAACGAACTCAAAGGGACCACTAATTTTAGTTCGTTATAACCGAAGTTCGTTATAAGCATATATACAGCATATATACAACAAATGGCCGGGACTAAAAATAAGTTCGTTATATCGGTCATTTCGTTATAAGCGTGTTCGTTATAACCGTAGTTTACTGTATTACATTTCATTTCTCAGTGCGAACTATTTTGATATTAGTAAAGTGGTTAACTTGCGCTGTTCACCACTTTTCTTGTGCAATGTCAAGGGAAGGAAGGCGAATGTTTCACTCATGTCACATATACATAAAGTCAAAAAACGTAAAAACGTATCCGACTGGATGAGTTAAGAATACCCTTCACCTTAGTTAGCTTGTTCAAGTAGGACTGTTCAGTTCGAAGCGAAAGGTGTTTTGACGAGTATCGCATACTTGTATTGACTCTTTGTCATGACGAGTCTTACTATAACTGACTGCGTTGAGTTTGTTGCGAATTATGTTTGAACATATTCCCCATACGAGGTCCACACCGGTCGGCAAATGATGCTTGAGTGCCTGGATCCGACTTGTGTTTAAAGGCTTCCACCTGGTTATGTAAAACGTCCCCCACAGCTGTGCTGAACTGTAGTCTTTTGTAACCCTGTCGTCGTGGAGGGGTTTCGCTAAGGATCACGACAATATATTTCTCATTGTTTTGCAACCAAACCTGTTCAGGCAAAATATGGATATGAAAACCATATCCTTGTAGGTCTCTACAACAAATACTTAGAAATGGTAAAATCTTATTCGAAAAATGAGAACAAAATAAATGACCCTACCTAAAATGTGTTTGGTCCCATTGAGCCCATTCCTTGAAGACCCGGGTTAGAATCGATCTTCAGTAACCTATGATTGTTGTAAGATTAACGGGATCAGGTGGACAAGCCCAGTACCTTGGATGATGCATGTCATTGTATCCCAGTTGCGTAGCCCGATCTTGTCTGGTCCAGACTCGATTATTTACAACACACAAACAAACAAAACCATCAGTCTGCCTATGTGTTATTTTGAAAGTCCATAATTAGTCATAATTTAGTTGTTGACGTCACATCCTTTTTCATATGTCTGACGCCGACGAAGAAAGACAGAAAATAGGGAAACATCACAATATGTAAAATGTCTTTAATAGGTTTAAAATGAGATTGTTCGATTTGTATTTATTTGAAAAGACACGCACCTGTTAGGCATCATGTTTCTAAACAACCATATACACAGAATTCTTTTTTTTCGAAACAAATCTTTCAAAGCACACCTTTATGTATTGTAATTAGAACGTCGTTGATAACTTCATTTTGCCTCAGAGCTAATCAGCAATTTGAAAATACAAACATGCGAAAACAATTTTCCATTTTGATTTTATGAGGATATATGTGTACATTCGAACGCTGGGTTCAAAGGCTGCTAGGGGCGGTCGGGTAGCCCAGTGGTTAAAGCGTTCGCTCGTCAAGCCGAAGACCCGGGTTCGATTGCCGACATGGGTACAATGTGTGAAGCCCATTTCTGGTGTCCCCCGCAGCGATATTGCTGGAATATTGCTAAAAGCGGCGTAAAACCATACTCACTCACTCACTCACTCACTCACTCACCCAAAGGCTGCTGACTTCTAAGGTTCTCGTGAGAATTTACGTCGTTTTGAGACTTGTAACCATGCATGCGTCCTGGGTTCACAACTATCAGACAGAGACTGTAACATCGCAACGAACGAAGAAGGCAAAATACGTTCCATCAGTTGGCTTCGATTTTCTGATATTCTAAAGGAATTCTACCACCGAAAGTCAGATCATTCATGCTAAATATAATGTTAATCTGCTTACCGGGTTAGAACATCGAGGAAAATTCTTTGAAAGTGTGTTGTTCCAGCAGGACAATGTATCTGTGTACAAGTCATGATTGTGGCTTTGGATTCATTGATCACATGAATATTCACCACGTTATTCACCACGCCTCGACATACAAATATGCGATACTCGACAAAGCACCCTTCGCTTCTTACTTAAACACGTTCACTATGCTAAAGGATAATCCTCTAAGCTAATCCATTAATTAATGTATTAATAATTGGCTCACTTTTCGTGTATGTGACATGCGTGAAACACATTCACCATCATTCCCTTGAAATTCAATGGGGCGGTGAGGTGAAGCGTCCGCTGGTCACGCCGAAGACCCGGGTTCGATTCCCCACATGGGTACTGTGTGTGAATCCCATTCACGGTGTACCCCGCCGTGATATTGCTGGAACATTGCTAACGGTGGCGTAAACCCATACTCACTCACTTGAAGCTCAAATGCACAAGACAAGTGGAGAACAGCGCGTTAACCACCTTACTAATCCCACAACAGTTCGCACTGAGAAAGGAAATGTAAAAGGTAATGTAACAAAACACTTCGTAGAACATATGGTACTTTTGTGGACAGAAAACTGTTAAACTAATCCAGTCGGAAACGTGTTTTACAAATTGGCTAACTTACCGTGCGTGTATGTGTTTTACGCCGCACTCAGCAATATTCCAGCTATATAACGGCGGTCTGTAAATAATCGAGTCTGGACCAGACAATCCAGTGATTGATATCATGAGCATCGATCCACACAAATGGGATCGATGACATGCTTCAACCAAGTCAGCCAGCCTGACCACCCGATCCCGTTAGTCGCCTCTTACGACAAGCATTGTCGCCTTTCACGGCAGGCATGGGTTGCTGAAGACCTATTCTACCCCGGATCTTCACGGGTCACAAATGCACAAGAAAAGTGACAAACAGCGTGTGTTAACCACATTACTCGTGTTACTGCAGTTCGCAATCCGTAGCACTGTATCATATATCAATGACATGATGTTAAAGCTGCGTTCATGAGTTGTGATGGTTATATTTTTGCTCTCGGGGCTTGGCATCTAAATTCGCAACTAAAAAGGGTCGTTTTCGGCAGATACCTGATCCGAGAAGGGGAAGTAAATATAAAAACATTATAATAATAATTACTCTTGACGAGGGCAATATACGAGACATTGGGGTCGGGTCGAGCCGATCTGACGGCAGTCGCGATCGGATACGAGGGTCCTTGTTTTCGTATATTGAACTAGTTAAGAGTAACCATTCTTTTTGTTACACCAAAATTCACTTTAAAGTTTATGAAGCCTTTAACCTTTTTCTGTGTCATTACAGTAAGTTATCCACGAACCGTGAAATGTTACTACCGGACGCCAACTTGTTTTCTAGCAGACGAGTCAATATTCATCATCTGACGAGAAAACATTCGAGGTCAATGCCAGTCTCGTGATTTGGGGGGGTCTACATCTCACGTAGTCCGGATTAACCAATGAAATTGCAAGATTCTAAATAGCGAACAAGCTATGTGACTTCTGTTAACATGGTCAATTAACACGCCTGCTGTGGAGCGGTTATGAAACATTCTGATAATGTCTTGATAGCATGTGTTTGACATACACAACGGACAGTGCTAGATAGCTCAACAGGCGGATTATAACCGATTATTTCCTTAGAGTGGTAGTGATAAGAACTTGGTGGCTTCAACCAAACCCTGATATAAACTACCATACGCTTATCAAGAGGACCAGTCACACTCTAGGTCCCCTAGAAGAAGGTAAATTGTAAGAATGGAGACATTAGAAGATTGTGAGACACAGGACAAAAGTATAGTCCGGTCCTCCACCGATGAAATCTTTGACGAAGATAAAGCCTTAAACGAGGATGGAGAAGAAGATGGATCTACTCAGGATGAAAAGCTTCAATACAATTTGATACAAGTTCCTCCAGCCCCGATTATGATCAGTGCTGCCCTACAGGCAAGTATCTTACATCACCCGTTAGTACTTGATTGATAGTTACATGTTCATCCGTCCTTTTTTTAAGTTGGTTGGTTTGTTTGTTGTTTAACGCCGCACTCAGCAATATTCCAGCTATATGACGGCGGTCTGTATATAATCGAGTCTGTACCAGACAATCCAGTGATTGATATCATGAGCATCGATCCACGCAATTGGGATCAATGACATGCTTCAACCAAGTCAGCGAGCCTGACCACCCGATCCCGTTAGTCGCCTTTTACGACAAGCATAGTCACCTTTTACGGCAAGCATGGGTTGCTGAAGACCTATTCTACCCCGGAATCTTCACGGGTCCGGGGCACGGCTGGTACAGTCGTCGAAAGCCCCGGGATTTGCTGTCAAAGTTGCGCCAATCAAGAGTGGTAAAAACATGATCACGGTTCGCCCTATGTTTCCTGGATGCCAGCGCCACACCTGTGCTCCTGGGTTTCAGCAAATTTATAAACGTCATAAAAATATAAGACCGGCATCACTTCGGACTTTCTTCCCCGACAAGCTGACACGCGGTGATGTAACTGAAATAATGTTGGCCTAGAGACCAATTCACTTATTCTCCCGCTCACTTCGAATATCGAATTCTTTGGATACAAAGGATGTTCAAATCTTATTCAAACGATATTTATGTCATCGCGCAAATAGGAATTAAAATGTTCAACTTTTTCATATTGATAGCATTGTATTGTATTTCGAAAGAATGCATATTCTCTTCATAATATACTATATTACAGTCTTTAACTAGTAACATTTGGATGTCTTGCTGAGTGATATCAGTTAATCATCATTTAGCAAAGAGAATAGCCAGGCGTATTCTTAGGATACGTATATGATATATACGTCAGTTAACTACCAATGAGATGACACATGACAAATTTGTGATATTCACATAGCTCTGCTTTTGTGGGTACGTCTGTTTTTATAAGTCATCATACGCCCATGTGGTCTGCATCATGTGTGCTATTTTGCCGCTTCATGTTGAGAATGGAACCTGGGCCGACGAACGAAAGCTTTAACCACAAAGCTAACCCACAGCCCATAGTTGAGCTGGAGGGCTAATACGGTTTAGAGGAATTATCAGGTTCGATGACGGCCAATAGGGGTTTTGAAGTTGATCAATCATGTTTGACGGTGTAGGGTTAGCAATGCAATTCTTTTGTAGTTCCTGTTTTGACTTGTTCCATATGTTCCCGTGTTTAAGGTAAACAATTAGCTTGCCTTTGCATGTGTTTGTGACGAATGCCACCGGTCGGGCAGGTTACTTGCAGCTTTTCGCGAACACCTTGTATCATCACTATTTGATAGTGATTCATAGCCACATACTCATCATCTAGTCGGAATCGCACACCCGTCTCTGCTTTTGACACAGATTTCTGGCGAATGTGGAAAGGGACCTGTCCCGTTATTTACATTCATCTGAGTCAGCAGAAACGTACTTCAGAGCGCGTTCATAATACACTTTCCTACAGATTTTTGAATTGTTTTATAGCCCAGTTCTTCATTACAGGGGACACGGGTGGCCAAGGCGTCTCAGGCATCGCAATTCGGTTTGCAGAGTTGCGTCCCTTGGACACGCCAGAAACCTATGATTGTGGGTTCGAATCCCGGTTCGCCCCGGTTATGTTTCTAGGCTTGTCAGCACCATACCCGTGCTCGTGGGTTTCACCAAAGTTGTACGTTTCTGAGACTGACATCACGTTGGGTTTCCTCCCACACCGTACAATTCCATGCAGCGTTAAACCAAACTTACTAACTCACTGTTATCTCCAAAATTGCCTTTTTCCAACCGTTCAAGGAATAAAAGTGTTTGTGTGTACATCTTTTCTCCAGCATGTATTGTTGAGTCTGTCCTCCTGTTTGGCTACAAGTTTCATCGTCTCAGACGTGTTGTGCGCGGCTGCTGATAGTCCTCTCAGAACGAGGCTGTTCTCTTCAACACTGTTTTTGTGTGGAATCTGCACTATCCTGCAAACGCTTGTGGGAATAAGGTAAGATCTATGTATGCGAGACTACAAAACACAACACAAGTTCTATTTCTTGTTGTCTTGCTTGGAGTACGTACATGTTCTCGACCGAGTCATCCTGGGAAACCATTGATTTCAGTTGACAAAGACCAACTTATTTAGCTCTGTCAACATTTACACTTGCATATGCTGTCACACCAGTTGCTATGTTCCGAAGAGTTGGATCCTCTGTAAATGGATTTTCTTCCTCAGGGAAATACACAATTGTATTGATGTGATTGTAATCAATTATCGTGCTTGCGTGTCTTCTTTGTGTTGTTCACTTGTGTAGAATTCAGTGTCTGTGAACTGCTGCATGGCAATGTTCATGTCTACACAAGCTGGTCTGGACAATAACCATTGTGTTCTCTGAGATTCTGACATTCAGTATCCTCCAGTTAGTTCACCTGTTGTTTAAATGCTTATCAACAAAACCTTCTCAATGACAAGATCTGTTGATATCCTCCAGTCAGTTCACCTGTTGTTTAAATACTTGTCATCAAACCCTTCTCAGTGAAAAGATCTGTTAATATCCTCCAGTCATTTCACCTGTTGTTTAAATGCTTATCAACAAAACCTTCTCAATGACAAGATCTGTTGATATCCTCAAATCAGTTCACCTGTTGTTTAAATACTTGTCATCAAAACCTTCTCAGTGACAAGATCTGTTGATATCCTCCCGTCAGTTCACCTGTTGTTTAAATACTTGTCATCAAAACCTTCACAGTGACAAGATCTGTTGATATGTTCCAGTCAGTTCACCTGTTGTTTAAATACTTATCATCAAAACCTTCTCAGTGACAAGATCTGTTGATAAGAAAGCCCCAAAAACGATCACTTCCCCTGAGTATATGATGTCGAGAGTCAAAGCAGTTGTACACTTCAGGGTGATCTTCTTCTAGATTAGGCATATTTTTCAAGTACGTGTTAGCTGAGTTCACATACAAATTGTGTCCAGCAGTAGTCTTGTACAGACTGAAGGTGAATATGCCTGTTCCCTGTACGTTCTGCTGGTGGAGTAAGTCTCTTATATCCAGTACTAAAGCCAAAGAGGTGACTATGATAAAGTTTCAAAAATGTTTGAGCAGTTTCCTTGTCATGTACAGAACACTGTATGCATCATTTCACTTGAAATTACTCATTTTTTTACAAGAGCGTTTAATATTAATAGTTCATCATGATTCTTGGCTGAGATTTTTTTACACTGAACTCTGATCAGAATTTACAGATCTCCCATAGAAAAGTTTATTGGTTTTGTCTTGACCCTCGTGTAGCCGTGGAACATCTTCCCTCGTTCTGAAGTTCACTTTACAATACTGGTGATAAATGGCTTCGACAACATGGAGATCCTGGGCAAACTCAGCTCGACCTCGATCTGTCTGCCCCAATCATCAGCATGCTGTTTGCAAAAAGCCTCACTGTTTTCTTGAAGGTGGTTGGTGCGAACTGGATAAACATCCAATCCCTTTTTCTTCTTTGAATGTTTTGCAGATTTTCCACAAAATAAACAATTTTCACTGAAGGGAAAGTGTGGTTACATGAAGCGCAGTGTTTTTGGTTTTCTTGAGTCAGCTGCTGTTGCTCAATCAATAGCTATGTCACGTTTAATAACGTTGGGATTGCATTATTTGCGATGACAATCTTGGTGCACAGGTGAGCTCTGTAAAGTGTCTCCATGCTGACTGCTGACCTGGTTTATACCTTGGCCGCCTTTTGTTCCTTGCTCGACAGTTAAATCTAGCGTTGTGTCTTTGCATATTTTAAACGGGATCATACCTGAGACCAAAACTTCCAAACAATCTACATACTTATCACATCAACAAATAGCGATCTCCCAAACCTGTTTTATTTGTTAGACTAACGTCCATAAAGTGATCACTTTCACATGGATTTGATTTATTCATGATCATTGGTATGCCACAAAGTATTAAATATGTTGCATTAGCGTAGCTTGGAAACCAAATTTCCTTAGATTTCAAACTATTTTGCCACTGACCTCTGCCGTTGTGTTCGGGGGTGAGGTTAGGGGGGATAGGTGGAAAACATACCCAATATGCATTGCACGTGCACTAACCGGGTCCGAAGCGCACTGTCACAAACTTTGTCAGTGTGAAAACACTGGGCTACGATACTAAACATGACATATACTCTTGATTCACGTTATGGAACATTCATGTAAAACAAATATATATGATACCTAAGCAATAAAACAAAGTGTTTATTTGTGCGCCTAATGCCAACTACGTAACTCGAGTGACATGATTGTAAAGGTAAAACAAAAAAAATGTCTCGAATGTCTTTAATCCAATTGATCTGTTTTGTCGTTCCTCGAATACGTTACATGATATTATTCTGCACTGCCTTACATAACATGGAGCAAAAACATACAACATTATCAAAATTATAACAATCACATATTTGTTTTCCTTTCGGAGAACATATCCACTCAGTAGTAACTTTGCCTTGTAATGAATGATTGTGTTTATCACTTGATAAAGTAAGTGTTGCAATTTTGACTGATACAATTTCCGCTATACCACTGTACTTTGATAATATTATAAGTCCTATTTACGAAACTCGGTTTACCTTTTTCGGACAGGCTCCCCATTTTTCAAGGACCCTCTTCATCATTTTTACCAGCACTACTTGCCATACAGAACAACGCGGAATGGTCATGTGACCATGTATCTAATGGAGGTTTGTATATATTCTGGGGAATATCACTAGGGGACATAGAGGTTTATGGCAGACTAAAGATTGATTTTTCACGACAACAATGTCTCAAACGTTGCTTCCCTTTCACGAGTCATAGTTTGACGCAATCTGATATTGTTTAACGTAACAGTTACATCGTTGGCGAACTGCGGAGTTCTTGACACATGTTTTAGATTAACTAGTATGTCTTATAATAATAATAATAATAATAATAATAAGAATAATAATAATAATAATAATAATACGATAAGTCTAACATTGACACCGATTCTTCGATGTATAGGGTTTGGGGTATATAGAATATAACATTGTATATAACATTTGGTATTTGCATTACAGATACCAATACCTACGATGAAAACAATTCGACGATATCTCCTCTTAACATGACTGAAACATCGTCCTTACTCGGATTAACCGAAATTGAGAAGTTGCAAAAGGTAGTAACATTTTAATTTTGGAGTTTTATTGTTTGTTTGACAGTGTTTCAGAATCGGATACAAATTGGTAGATTTGAGGAAATCAGATTCTAATAAATATGTTAAAAATGGACGTGTAATAGTTTGATAGTGTTTTCCAATATTAACGTGCCCTTTCTGTGAACACCTGGTGTCATCACCGACTTTCACTGACCCATTTATATGAATTTCACCACTGTTTGGACTTTTTAAACCCAATGGGTAATCGAGACTGATTATTCTCTGGCGTTGACGTTTAATATATTATGATATCCCGTAAAGAACCGTGTCAGACGCCAAGTATTGGTATGTAATAAGTATTTCTCCTTCACTTCATAAACAACATATACATGTATGTGAAAAACGTATTTTGCTCGTGTCCGAAGCCTATTTGGGATAATATGAATATGCCCCCATTATATCGTGCTTGTCGCAATAGCCTACCGAAATGGGAAGAAGGTGGTTATCCCTACCTGGGAAGATTCACTTGAAGATAGACCCTGCCTGTTATTTGAAATCTTTTTCTAAGAATAAAACCATCATTTATCAAGATTTGATAGCTATTTGTAGCAGTCTGGAAGCTTTCTTTCTAGTTCATCGATCACTGTATTGTCTGGTTTGTTTACCCGCTGACGTCTCATGGCAGAAGTACTGCCGTGCTGCGTCAGGCAATTGGTAGTAACTTTTTTGTGCAAATTGTGTGGATGGCAGGTTCTACCAGTAGGGCGGAACATGTTTGCCCTTTTCGCGAGCACCTGGTGTCATCGCTGATTTTCAGTGGCCCATTCATATAATTTCAACAGCTATTTGCCCCGGGTGGAATCTATTTCGGCAGAAGATCTAGGATGGTTGTTCTCTTGCATTGACAATTTGTATTATCTTTGTTGCAGCTGTCTGGAAGCTTAATGGCTGCTTCATTTGTTGAGATACTGGTTGGTTCAACAGGATTGGTTGGAGCTATGCTTCGTTACATTGGACCCGTGACCGTGGCGCCTACAATATCACTGATAGGTCTTTCTTTGTATAAAATCCCAATTATATATTCTAGACCGTCATGGGAAATTTCCATCGCGTAAGTATCTTTAAGTTGATTACGAACTATGCCTTTTATCAAGTATCCCTCACCATGATGTGTGTCTATGTGACCTACTATGGTGTAAAGGCAGCTGATGTTAGGCAGTTAGCACGATGAGTTGTGTTTGAAGTGTATGGAATAAAGTCGTACCGTTACTTCTAAAACGTATAATGTGAATACCATTCTAATCTATTCATCACAGACCTTTATAAGGCAAATATCACCGCCTTATCTATCTGACGATAAAATTTGCCATATATTTGATATATATTTGTTTTGTGTTTTTGTTTGTTTGTTTAACGACGCACTCAGCAATAGTCCATTAACAATATATTGTCCTCGAAATATCGAAATAAGCGTCCTTCTGTGATTTATAATGATGGTCTAAGTTACAAACTTGCTAATAATAGACAGAACATTTTCGGTAGCATTCACAATGAATAAAAGCGAAGGACAAAACCCCTTCCCGTTACAAACACAGGCAAATGGCAGTTTATTATTCACCTGAAAAATTCACCTCCATATATCCACCATAAAACGTTTTCAAAGCTTTACTGAGGCCTTGAATGTTGTAACCTTGATCAAACAACTTCTGAGCAAGAGGTGTATGAAGATCTTTCAAATCTTGGTAGAAAGAGCATGACCGATTGTACCTTAAAAGATGTATATTAAAGACACCAAGGCTGGGACTGCAGGAACAGTGCTCGACATAAAGAGAAAGTTTCAGTAACATTTTAGTTACAAATGTTACTTTGAAGATGGTTCAAGTTGACAAAAATCCCAAATCACACGTCACTATTTATACAGTTGGACGTTATTCTATATATTTGGATGCTTCATCAGTTAAACTGCTGAGAATTTCTACTTGTGCATTTTACAGCTTTGATTTAATTTCCCACCCCGTTTTCATATGCCAGAGCCGCCGTCCTGGTACTGGTGTTTACCCTCTTCCTTGATAATGTGAGATTACCGCTTCCCACGTGTGGAAAGAAAAAGCCGAAGAAAGGAAAGAGGAACGGTGTTCGTCTTTTCGGATTACTTCCGGTATGCCCAAAATGTGTTCAAGTTTTTTCATGCATCTTATTATGGTCGATTTGAACACAAACAAAACTCCCATATAGATAACGATGCCTCCCCAACTCGACGATCCTGGTGGCTGCTTTTCTCCATGTCAAGTTTGTTTGTTTGTTGTTTAACGCCGCTCCCAGCAATATTCCAGCTATATGACGGTGACCTGTAAATAATCGAGTCTGGACCAGACAATACAGTGATTGACATCATGAGCATCGATCCACGCAATTGGGATCGATGACATACATCAAACAAGTCAGCAAGCCTGACCACCCGATACCGTAAGTCGCCTCTTACGACAAGCATAGTCGCCTTTCACGGCAAGCATTGGTTGCTGAAGACCTATTCTACCCTGGAACTTCACGGGTCCCATGCCAAGTAGAAAATTTGAAATTCGAAATAATGAAGCTGTTAGGCTGTAGTTCAGTTTCTAGGCATCTGTATTACATATATAGTGAAAATTTTAAAAGTAAAATTTCTGTTATTGTCTGACATTTTCTTTATTACCTCAGTGAACTAGACATTCTGTCATGCACCTGAGTTTGGACAAGAATCTCCAGAAAGATACAAATTGTAGCTCGAGATTGTGTAATTTGTTTCAGATCCTGCTTAGCATCGTGTTGATGTGGATGGTATGCGCCGTTCTCACTGTCACCAACGTCTTCCCCGACGACCCTAGCAGTCTTCGTTACATGGCCAGGACGGACTCTAAGTCGTCTCTGCTATTTCTCACTCCCTGGTTTATTTTCCCATACCCAGGTATACAGTCACATAGTTGTCACGAATCTCCCTATTATCATGTAAGGTTGACGCGTGACCTACAGAAGGCTCTCTGACCCTCCCCAAAGTAAAGTCGCATTACTGTACGCAAGGGCATGCAAGGAGACACTTCCGGTTTCGGCCAAAGGACAAGGCTCCGGCCAACCGACAGTCTCAGCAAGTTTGTTTCAAGTTATTTTACGCCACTTCGTGTGTCTGCTATTCCTATTTTGCTATGTGGGTATGGCATCTGAGCATCGATCTACGCATTTGGGACCGGATGACATGCACCAAGCGAGCCCTACCACTCAATGACGTTAGGTGCCTCATACGACAAGCATAGGTTGCTGAAATTGAATTATGTGCGAGCGCACACACATACACATACGCACACTCACAACAATGTCTTTGAAACGGGCACCGGGTAGTAGAGCATAGCCATCCTTAACAACATACATGATAAATTTATACAAAGCAGCAATAAGTGGACCTCTTTTATATATTTGCTATGGTTTTCTTTTACCATTTTGCAGATTTACGCATTCTGATTAGACTAATATGAAGTTGTTTATCATAATCGGTAATGAAATCTGGAATCGTGTTGTAAACTGCTTGCTGTTTCTTCATAAATGTTCATCCACAAGTATGGGCTTTGCCTCATACGTCTTTCGCATCCTCCACAAGGATTCCTGTCACCTAGGGTCATTTTTTAGTTCCGGAACATTACAGGAACAGATGATATGAAAAATATAAGAGAATAACCAACCTTGATTTTCTGCCGAAAATGAATCCACTTGGCGGTAAAGGCAAATAGCTGTGTAAATAATATGAATGAACCAGTGAAAATCAGTGATGACGCCAGGTTTTTGCGAAAAGGGTAGTGTGAGTATATGAACAATAAGATAGAACTTGTGGTGTGACATTGTGTGTATTGGTCCTGCTGACATCTGCGTTGAATTCCACAACCAATCAGATTATGATCTTGTAGCGTGCTTGTTGTCCTGTAAGCCACATTCAGATATTGATCCAGATACCAGTCGTTCTTACTCACGGACTGGAATTCGAGGTTTTCAATAGATGGGCGGAATTTAAAATGAAAATCTGTTACCACAATGGGCTATTCTCTGACAATGTTATTATTATCATGTTAATATTCGTAATGCTATACCTTGTAACGCCTACGGAGGAATAAAATTATATATATAGGATAAACAAATTGGTTCATCTAGATCTGCCCTTATCCAATTAGGTGCGGGATATAACATACAGCAGTGAAATTAGGTGTATTAAAGATGGGGCGGTGGGGTAGCCTAGAGGATAAAGCGTTCGCTCGTCACTCCGGAGATCCGGGTTCGATTCCATGGGTACAATTTGTGAAGCCCATTTCTGGTGTCAATAATCACTCACTTATTTATTTATAGATGAAATGGGACATTAGGATGTTTTCATTTTCTTTCAGGTCAGTTTGGAATGCCAGGTTTTAGCGTGGCTGTGTTTATCGGGTTTAGCGCAGCTTTCTTTTCATCGTTGGTGGAGTCTGTGGGTGACTATTTTGCTGGATCAAAAGCTTGTGAAGTCGACACTCCGCCAGATCACGCGGTGAACAGAGGAATTTTGATGGAGGGGCTAGGTGGCCTACTTTCTGGTTCAATAGGTGTAGGGCATGCTACGACGTCCTACAGTGGCAACATTGCAACTATATCTGTGTCGAAGGTAATGTTTGATAGCTAATAATTAAATTTATTACACCTTGTTGCTTGAAAGTATAAAAAATTCAAATGTTCCAAGAATACTTCAAGTTGGCTACTTCCTTTACAGAATATAATTGTGTGTTTTTAAGCAATGTCCGATAAATCCTGTGTTTGACAGAGGTTAGGTTAGAAGCAATTCCATACATATTCCCTGAACAGACAAGACACTAGATTTACGAATTCAAATATTTTACAATGTTCTTTCATGGTTGGAAAAGACGACGATACAGCCAGTACTCGAAACGCCTTGCTACGTGTCATCTCAAATACAGTTGGAAACGTCTTGTAGGTTAAGGACATCCCAATCTCTGTCTTATACTCAAGAAAATATCTATTCCAGCTAAATGTAAAATCATAACCGTTTTCTGATTCGATCAAATGGCAAGAGCTCGGTCGTACAAGGTGGCATCTTTGAATGTGCATCTATAATAATATGTGTACGAATGTTGCGCTAGACTCCATACACAAGGGTGATGTACATGGGGATTAAATCCTCCCTATCTAGGCCCACCACGGAGAGGCGTACATCATCAGGCCATTATTATTACCAACGAGTTTGAATTAGTTTCTGCATACAACGGAAAAAGCCTGGGCACCTGGGCATTTTGAAATAAGCTTCTGATGTGAAATAATGACCTACCGTTTTCCCGAGTTGATGAAATTCGCTTGTTGCAGACCGGGAGCAGATCCGTGATGGTCTGTGCTGGAATGATGCTGATTATCTTTGCCATTCTGGGGAAGTTTGGTGCTGGATTGGCGTCCATCCCCAATCCTGCTTTAGGGGGTGTCCTCATCCCCACGTTAGGGATGCTGGTCTCACTCGGGCTGTCCACTCTTCGTTACATCAACTTGACCTCGACGAGAAACCTAACAATATTGGGGACGTCAATGTTTGTTGGTATGTTTGTGCCGGAATGGATTAATCTGCATCCCGACTTCATCAACACAGGTAGAGTGCTTCACACATATAATTGACACTTCTCATACACGTTACAGAAGTAACTGATTATTTTGTTATTGAGGGTCCTGCCATTTGATATTCGGGAGAGATAGGAAGGGGCTGGATTTGTTTGATAAGAATAATCTGTTCCTGAAAATCCTTGAGCATTTTTTCCCTTAATGTTTACCCCCAAACAGAAATATATCGTGGACTTGACCTGCTACATTTTCAGCGAATCCATAACGTTTAGTGTCTTGAAAAGCTGACAGAAAAGATTTTGTGTAAAAAAAACCTCTGATCCCCAAAACATGACAATCTTATGATATACATGTAGGTCACTGTGATCTACTTTCAATGAGCAGCACATGCTTGTCGTTACGTTGAATTCCACCTGGGGCCATCATATTTGGTTTATATGCTGGATTTGGAATGTTCTTGAAATCCTTGTCATTGGCTTTGATGGCCAAATGCACCCTCAATAATGTTGTATTCGAAAAGCATCAGCAGTTTTCACGATGTATGTATCAATTGATTTGAATTGGTAAGGTTTTGAACGACCTTCATTGAAGGCCAAGGCCACGGGAATGGTCATTCAAAAGATGGTTCTGCTTCTTGGCTGACTGAACTGAGTTTGTAAGAGGAGGTAATTGTCAAAAATAGAGGAACAGGGTTATTAATTAACCGGGAGTATATGAAAGTTGTTCGGCTCCTTTTCAGAGAAAAACGAGCGTTCCAGGTACATCTTGTATGTGGTTGCTGTAGGCATCACGATGTATTTTACCAACGTAATGGTATAAACAATCTTAAAATGCATACTTGTATGCAATTGTTTCTGGCGAATTCTTTAAGTGACAGCGAGAAGGGGGAGGGGCTTCTGTTTTTGCAAGTCCTGCAAACACATCTCTAGTTATATTTTATATTTTACAGGAAACCCCGAAGGGAATGCCATTTTGAAAGTAATCTGTGGTACACCGATGTTCCTAGGCGGTATGATTGCTGTGATCCTTGATAATACTGTGAAAGGTAAGCACGATTGTGACATGAACGGAAGACTATGGTATTTGTTACAGACATTTTATTCAAAGTAAATACCGTCTGGACTAAAGACCAAGCATAACTGACGAGGTGCGAATGGTTACACTGTATGAACTTGCTGACTGTAGGTCATCGAACGTCATCGGGGCCAATCGTTGCTCTATCAATTCGATTCTCGACAGGCCTCTGTCGTACAGCGATTATATGTCGGCGGGGTATAGATAATAATCACTCACTCTCTTCAGTGAGGACGTAAAATTGTTTGGATCAGATCTTCATTTCGTTGTTAACCATCCTATTGTGTCTGTATTGAGTAAATGTAGATTTACGGCAGGGTCAACAGTAAGACAGGTGTGTAAAGGCGACCTGTAAATAATAAAGTCCAGGCAAGGCAATTCGGTGGGCTGCCAGGTCTGAACCAAATTTCCCGTGATTGTTTCCACGATGTGACTTTGTCTTATACATCTCTGTAATTCAAAGGATACAAATATGTTTGTTTTCAGGCTCGATTGAGGACAGGGGAATTGCAAAATGGCGGGAGCGTCATGGTGCAGATTCCAGCACTCAAGAAGGAGGAGCTATCTCTTCGTCGGTTGCCTATGGTTGGACTTGTATACCAAGTCTCTACAAGAGGTTAAATATCCTGTCGTACCTGCCGTTTATGCCACCGAACAGTGAAACACATAACTTGAAATACACGCTCGACAAAGATCATGTCATCATCTAGATAACATCTGTTTACAGCGCAACACCGTGTGGATGTCAGAGAGATCTGGTCTCGTTGTCTGAGCTTTTCATAAGAGTTGGCAAAGAGGATCCGGCTCTGTCATCGTACCCCGATGCCTCGAATCGTTCCTGAAATATAAGCTTTCAGTGACTGGATCGATTATTTTATACGACGCCGTTATAGAACTTGAAAGTTACTGTCTCTGGCGTAAAACAACATTCACTCACTTACTATTTTACGTAAAACCCTTTAAGACTTGCTTCAACACAACAACGCTATTTTCCGTTCTTGTTACGACTTTAACATTTTATAAGTGTCGTCATAACATTGTTTCCTCAGTTTTACGCTTATACTCAACACACATGTGACGTTTTAATTTCTGGATATTTTGTCCATTTGTAACGCGCCAGTTTCCATTCGTCAAGATACAAGGCGCTACATAAAGGAGGATATTTCATGTGTCTAGTGAAATATCATGTTTCTCTCATCCAGTGACGGGATGGGGGGTGGGGGAGATAGTTTTACGAGTGACGTAGCCACGAGTGAAAGTATCTCCTTTTTCCCCGTCATGAGACGGGAGAAACATGATATTTCACGGGACACATGGAATTTTCTATATATTATATACTTTTTGTATAGTTGTTTACCAGGAAATTAAATCATTTCATTACAAATGTAAAACCTTGAAACGTATATTCCCCTTACCTAACACACAGGGACGGGTCACCACCCATTGTATTTGCGACTCAAAAAGTAGTTTCGTATTTGCAAAGTCATAAAAAAATATAAACAATCGTAACCAAAAAAGATAGGGTCGCGAACATTCTGTATCATACATATAGATATGAATATATACAAAATCAACTTTGACAAAAAATATTCTTGAAAACGTCGAGACTGCGTAATAATACATGCTGGCACAGTGAAAAAATGGCGATTTACGAAACGAATGGTCTCGAGTGATGAGTTAGTTGAGAAATGTACAATTTATAACAGTTCATCATAAAATACTGTAATGAATGGAAACAAACATAACTGTAAACAAACATAAAACGAAGATCGTTGTTTTTAAAAATGGTGGGAAACTTGCTCAAAAGGAAAAATGGTTTTGCAAAGGGGAACGCCTAGAAACTACCTCTTTCTTCAAGTATTTAGGTTAATATTTTATATTTTACTTTGTAAATGCATGCAAAGCAAGCCTCGATGCACGCTCAAAAGGTATTAATCGGTGTGTTAAAACAAATTTATACTCTTGGAATTATTCCTTACAAGACGTTCTTCAAGATATTTGATTTAAAGATAAGTCCGATACCACTATACGGAGCAGAAAAAAGGTACAATTATATGCCTGCAAGTGTTATGGTTTATGGTGATTGAGGCAGATTTCCAATGTATATATATTCATATATAAAGGTTATCAAATATTGGTTAAGATTATTAAATAGGCCATTTTATAGGTTCCCCCAAAAATATTATAATATGACAATTACTATGTCAATCCCGATTTCTTTAAATTCACATCTCTGTTAAACAATGCAAGGTACTTACTTTTACAAAATGTATCTATGTACAGTTATCATGCAATGAGGCACCGGAAAAATATTATGCCATCGACACTACATCTTCCCGAGGCAAGAGAGTTAACTGACTTTAAAAGTCCAGTTTCCACCCTTGCCGAACAATGCTGGAATTCCTGGGCTCGATCGTAGAGTCACCAGTGGCAATTACGAGTTATGTCCCTTCTATGCCTCTCCTATGGACCGATCAAATGCCACCTCTCGTAACACGTGCCTTTGCTTCAAACGAAACTGCGGCGCCCAGTCATGACGATCTGATCGATAATCAAGATCTATAGATTGTGATAAAACGAGTCTTACATCGCGAAGTGCATCAAATCACGTGAGCACCTTTATTAAAAACATGAAAAGATTTAGAAAATATCTGTTGACAACGATTTAGCGGTGAACATGCTTTGCAAATCCTGCAATCGACCGAAATCTGCATGACAGTTTACGAACCGGATTTCGATTTCGTTGCGCGATTTTGACTCGTTAGTCCTGCCAAAATTACCAGCCCAGGGTGGAAACTGGACTTTTATAGTCGGTTAACTCACTTGCTTCGGGAAGATGTAGACTCTACTGCTGTGAATGTACTAATTATAAATGAACTATAGGTATCTGGCCTCCTCAGTACGGACATAAAGTAATCGAACGGGACCTTTTCAGGAGAATAACAAACGCCATGAAGCGACATTAACTCCATAAGTGACCATCTGTCATTATTTTGCATTGTCGATGTGGAACTAACGTAAAAACTTAAGGACGTCAACAGTTGGTGAACGGGCCAGACACTTACGACAAAGGGAGACAATTTGAGGGGAGGTCACTCTTGTATGACAATTGTTCCGTGAAAGTGTTATGTTCCCAGCAGTGAAATGTCAAGTGTTATGTTCACTGCAGTCACTGTTATGTTTACTGCAATGAAAATATCACTTTTCGCAACCTTGGAAATCTCTTTCACACTAATAAATCATTAGATGTGCAATTTGAGGAGTTTCAGCTGAGACTTGAACGATGAAAGGTAACTGCTTCATTTTGGTAGTTGGCTTCTTTGTGAGGGTCCGCAGTTCTGGAATGATCTCTCTCCAAACCAATTTTGGTTGAAACTATGGAACCCTGAGAAGGCTTTCATTTTCAGAACGAAGTGACCTGGTTGGTTTGCATTTGGACAGCAGTTAAATAAAATTAAAAGACATAAATTAGCTTGTCAAAAATGTGTGGCGCTTCGACTAATAAACTGACACGGCTTTAGAGAATTGTTACTACGTACTGAGTTATGATCGGGAGTGTAGCACATCCGACTTCGAAAGCTGACAGTTTGGTTTATTTCCAACTCATTTGTGCATATGTCTTTGTGTGACGATACAAATTGTTAACAATGGTGTTCAGTCATCTTATATAATTATTACGTAGTCCTCATATGTATATTGTGTTTGCTGAACATATTAAGATATGCGTTATTTGATTAATACAGTAAACGGTTCGGGAAACTAATTTTCAGCTGATTCGATAGATTGTCGTTTTTATGTCCACTGACATTCACGAAAAATATGTAAAAGCGTTTTTTATTAATGTGTTTTTTATTAATCCTGGGACGGCCAATAAAAGAATAATAGATACCAGACAAAGTGGCTTATAACTTTGATCTACAATCAGACACGCATTTTAAACGTCAACGCCAGAGATTAATGAGTCTCGAAGTTTAGCCGAAACAGATTACATATGGCGTAAAAGGAAAAATAGGGATGTAAAGAGGTATGAAAATGCCTTGTAGAGGTCATGGCATGTGGTAGCATAGCACATCAAGTTGACAAGGGACGTGTAATATACAATATACAGTGTATTTGGTCATTGCTCTCACGCTGGTGTGTAGAGGAGAAGAGATACCGGGAGGTCAATATGGAGGTCAAGATAATTAGAGTGTTCATCAACCTTCTTGTCTGAATTATGTACATTTTGTCGCGATAAACAATAAAACACAGAGTTTGCTCCATCTCCTTCGTAGCAAACGCAATTTGTGAGTGATGTGGGTTTTAACTCCGCTTTGAACAGTATTCCAGTTATATCACGGCGTGTCAGCTTAATGTTTGAGGAAAGGCCGACGTGGTGCAAGTCTAGGATGTTTACCACTTCATGTGCTTGATATCTGAAGATTTATGTTACGATCCTACACAGTAAAATTGTAACAATGAACATTATTTGTGTTCTGTCATTTAATATCCTTTCATGTCATATTCTCATTGTTTTCCTTGACGGTATTGATTCTTACCATTGTCAAACACAAAATTTCATTTGATGTTTTGTCAGGCGGAACTACATCCTCCAACATCTACGTGTGATTAATTGAATAAAACACTAACAATGTTTTCGGATATTGGCAGTAATTATGAAATCGAATCCGTCAATCAACTTTTGATTAGTCTTGATCTTAAAAGCCGATATGTTAATACTCGGGACGACCTATGTACACTGGAAGGACAATACCATTGGTTTTATGCCCCAGCATCGATTGAATTACTGTCGCGTTCGGAATAGACATTCATTGTACAATTGAAGTGTTGTATCACGCAAGTTTGCTCCAGATTCAAGTGGATATGAAGTTTGAAGTCTAGGTTGTGGATATTCTTAAGCATGACGTTTATTCGTTTTGGCCTGTGTTTGTGGAGTCATCTTTCACAATTTGGTGATTTGCTGAAATTTGACTTCGACTCTGACTTTACAGGTGGTGATTTTATTCTTTTGGAAGCCTTCTGTGAACCATCAGACACAAAGCTTTAACTTTTGCAGACGATTTGTTGAAAATTGACTTCGACTCTGACTTTACAGATGGTGACTTTATTCTTTTGGAAGCCTTCTGTGAACCACCAGACACAAAGCTTTGACTTTTGCAGACGATTTGCTAAAATTTTACTTCGACTCTGACTTTACAGGTGGTGACTTTATTCTTTTTAAAGCCTTATGTGAACCAACAGACACAAAGCTTTGACTTTTGCAGACGTCTATGAAGGAATGTTTCTACTGACTAATACCAAAAGCATGTGGACTCCTCTAACTCAAAGGACCGATCATGTTTCATAAGCGTTTTTAATTACTTTTTGTTCTGCTAGAAAGTCGTTATACTTCTACTCACGCTTGAAATGTACAGTTACATCAGAGTTGTACTTTATACTGTATTTAGAATGGCATTAATGAATAATGTTTCATGACACTTTTACTTTCTTGAAATACAAAATGCAGAAAAGGTCAGTGTCATATTGAAGATATCAAGACAAAGTGTTTATTGTGTAATGTCATTGAAGAGGAAAAACTTTATTTTTCATTGTCCATTATATCAAGAATTACGAACTCCTAACATAATTACAGTTCGTAACAAGGCTGCACTCTGTTTGATGTCATTCATGTTCCAAAAATATTTAGATAATGTATTAAAATTCATTGTAATGTAATGTAAATGCGTACGTGCAACAATATCTGCAACCACTGCAATATGTAATCAGAACTAGAGTTTCCTGTGGCTAATACCACTGCTACCTGTAATAATTATCATTGCTACCTGTAATTAATACCACTGCAATCTGTAAAGAGGACTAGAGCTACCTGCAATTAATACCACTGCTACCTGTAGTTATTGTCATTGCTACCTGTAATTAATATCACTGCAGTGTGTGAAGAGGACTAGAGCTACCTGCAATTACTACCCCTGCTACCTGTAATTATTATCATTGCTACCTGCAATTAATACCACTGCAGTATGTAAAGAGGACTAGAGCTACCTGCAATTACTACCACTGCTACCTGTAATTATTATTATTGCTGCCTGCAATTAATATCACCGCTACCTGTAATTATTATCATTGCCACCTGCAATTATTACCACTGCTACCTGTAATTATTATCTTTGCTACCTGCAATTACTACCAACACTACCTGTAATTATTATCATTGCTACCTGCAATTAATACCACCACTACCTGTAATTATAATCATTGCTACCTGCAATTAATACCACTGCTACCTGTAACTATTATCATTGCTACCTGCAATTACAACCTCTGCTACCTGTAACTATTATCATTGCTACCTGCTACTAATACCACTGCACTCTGTAAAGAGGACAAGAGCTACCTGCGATTAATACAACTGATACCTGTAGTTATTATCTTTGCTAACATACGACGAAGGCATGAATCTATGGGCATGTTTGCAAGGATTTCTGGTGATTAGAATCATGTGACATTTACATATCTGAACGGTATGAATACAATACTATCGTTATCAGCATAATACCTGCCCTGGTGATGAATAATTTCCTTCTTCAAGAAGGAATACGTACAGCGTGGACCTATGTTCGGTACGCATTTAGGAATCGTGGGTATAAAACTTTCTGTTGGGTAAATAGATGTACACAAGTATGTACCTCAGGTGTGTCCAGTAGTACCTGTGCCGCCAACGATTCCAAACGTTGCCAAGTGTTGTTGACTGTTTATGTTATGTTACGTTTGAGGTGTGATACAAATCTTACAAATCCCGAGAAAGAAAGTGAAACATGTTGACTTGGGAACTGAAATATAGATACGTATTATGTTTACATTTGATCAATTTATCATAAGTCCCTTTGACGTGGAAAAAAAGTGTTTTGGGCAATTAAGTTGGTCTGTTTTGACGCTTATTAGGTTTGACTGGCACTATGTTGGCGAGTTCTGAGAGACCTTCAAGCTTGAAGCTCTGCATTAAGAACGACTTCAGTTACCTTTCGTGGAAGCGAATTCTATCTGGCTACACGGAGAATTTCAGACGTCATTCAAAACAGATGTATTTCTCTGTTAGAAATACCACCAAGAGGAGACAATTGTACATTGAAATACTGCTATACATTGTTTAAAAAGATGATTATACTTTCGTGGTCGACGGTTCCTTTGAATTATTCTTCCCATTCGATCTAGGATTATGAACTAAATATATTCCATTATTTAACTGAGAATTGTACACAACTAAACCATGCAATTTACTTTTGGATTTGTGTGGGCGGCCAAATATATTTTTAGTAAGGTTAATACTAAGAGATGACCAGCAGAATCGTATTAATAAGTATAATTATTTGTTTTGAGTGAGCCGCTTTGAATTAAAAAGCCTCATGTGAGGCAGGTCTCTCACGTTTACCCCTTTGTATGTGTTGTATTTGTATCGAACATAGAAGGATGGTTTGGATTCAAACGTTGGATTACTAGGATCAGGGAAATTGCTCCTTACCTAGAGTAATTTATTCATTTTTATTTTCTGTAATGAGTTTCAAAAATACAAAATGACAAACAACATCTGCTTGTAGAAACGTACAAAGTGATTGTTATTCTGTTTTAATTGGTAAGAAAAGCTAATACAAACTTGACCATTTTCGTCTGTGACAAGAGTACTTCTCTCAAACCCATCTCCCTCAAAACTAGATCATGTCAGCTCTTGCACGTTTTAAGTTCACCAGCAGCCATGTCCATCATCCTTGATTTATGACTATATTACTTGACTGCAGTGCCCAACAAAGTCTCACCAGTCAAGACAATCAGCATAAGTACATCTTTCCCTGTCACTAACATTTCTCATCTCCGTCCTTTGAGTAGAAGAATGTTCTACCGATCCACATTTGTATCATGATGTAACCAATTTAAAAGTTAAATTTAATCAAGTGTGACATTTCCTCTGTTAAACCAAAGTGTCGTTTTCTTAATCGGGTAGGAGACACGTACTACGTTTCTAACATAGTAAGAAATCCCTGCGAAGAGCAGAGTCCAGTGTTACATACACATGCGTGTCGTAAGAGGTGGCTCAATGGATTGTGTGGTGTCGCTCTGGGCCAACTTGCACAGAACAATCTTAGTTACAATCGATCTTAGGTGGCTACAATCAACTTTACAATCAACATACAATTGTCCTATTCCACTTGCACAAACCGATCTTAGCGCGATTGTAGCTAAACGGTTCGGAGTTAAGATCGCGATCTTAGCTAAGACTGAAATCTTCAACGGTGGAGGTACGAATATTTTAAACTCCTGTCTACAGTTGTCTGCAAACGCGCATAGTTTGCTGCGCATACAATAAGTGGAACCAGTAACGACACGAAACACCGACCTAGCTCCCCCCATCGCACTTTGCAGTTTCAAGAAAGGTCCCAATTTTTTGAAGGAAACGATTAATAGAATGAAGGCATTTATTCTTGTCGGCATTAATACTGTCGTGATTTAGGAATTGTTTTCTATTTCAACAAGAGAAATACCTACTCATGTTTTTATTCAAAGTATTGAAAAAGACAAATAAATACATTATTTAGTAACACAATTATTATCAAAATTAAAATAAATAATAATAATATTTCCTAAAACCATAACGCGTAAATGCATGATCGTCATCTATTTGGGGGAGCTTTTCGTAAAATCCTTAATATATCCCTCATGTTTTCGTTTCGTTGCTACAACAAAGGATGTTATGACTACTATTTCAAAACGCAGAAAGACGTGAACTTTCAAAAACGCATAGACGGGAAATAAGAATGATGAATAATGTTTCTAGAAAGCAATTGTTTATATATATATTCACTGGGTATTATTATTATTTATTTATTTTAAAAGTGTGAATTTTATTTTTGCTATTTATGGGATATTTTGCAAAAAATTAAAATGTATCATCATGTATATTTGCTTGTGTGATGAAAACTTGTATTTGTTTTCTTTTAAACTCTGATATTCAACCGCTCGTCCCCGTCCCATTTGATTTTAGATTTAAACATGTATGATTTGCTCTTCAGCTTGTATTTATGTGTAGATTAATTTAATGATAAACTAAAGACAAAATAACTGACACGAATGTGACCCAAAAGAAATATAAGGGGAGCTCAGCGATTCAACATTGATACACTGGGTAAGGTAGATTGTACTCTACGGGCTTATACAAAGGGAAACCACTCCCATCTAGAGTGTAAACTAAGATTAGCTGCCCTTGATTAATCGAAAAGGTCACGGACCTTACAAATCGCTTGCGGGACGACTTTGATTTTTATCCTTCCCTTGTTTAGCGAAAAGGTATGTTGTTTCACATTTCTTTCAGTATTGAGTCGTATGGGAATATTCCTTTTAGCTATCGACTCGATAGTTACGTGTTTAACTATGGTAATTAACGATATTTCTGACGTTAACCCTGTGGTGCGTTCTTCATGTTGTTAAAGTGTCGATTCGAATTATAAAGTTTAACAAAAATAAGAGGCAATGTTTGAACGTAAAGCAGATTATTTATGTGAAACAGACCAAGCCTTGCACGCCATTTTGTCAACGATCTTAGCTACTTAAGATTGGTCCGGACCAATTGTAAGTTTCGATTGTAGCTTACAATGATCTTAGCCAACAATCGCTTTGTGCAAGTGGATGACGATTTTAGCCGAAGCCTAAGATCGCGATCTTAAGGATTTACAATACTTGTAGCGCTAAGATCGCTTTGTGCAAGTGGACCCTGGACTTGGTTGATTGGGTGTTTTGTTACCCCGATCATGGATCGTTGATCTTATTCTTAATCACAGACGTGACTGTTTCAGCCTGATTGTTGTGTCATATAAATGTAATATTAGAGCAGCGTTAAACAACAGCAAAACACTTACCACTGTTGATGGGAAGTGCTGTCCCATCCGGCACAACACAGAAGCCAATGTAACTGATCCAATGATTAATAACTCCGTTCGTCTCAGGAGCGAATTGTGAAGGGTGACTGCCTTGGGTATAGAGACTCTGAGCTAAAGATGACTACCCTGTTAGCAAACATAAAGGTCAATGCAAACTGCAAATTTTAAATCTGAGGCCAACAAACATCTGGAACATATTCACTATTTGTTTGGGTAACAAATCAAATTCGTTCCATGTGTGGCAACATTGACGTCAAGAAATCTGTTGGAGCGGTTATGACTGTGCCTGTTAGTGAAGAAATAATACCGTACCATACTGCTGTACCCACCATCACCACCTCTACAGAATATCATTTCTTATGTTTCTACATCTTCCAAGTCCAATATATTACGAGTGAACATAGATAATATTAATCTCACTTTCATATTTCATCCGTTGTGGGGACACGGGTGGCCCAGTCGTCTAAAGCGCCGCGATTCGCTGTGCAGAGTTGCGTCCCTTGGGCACGCCAGAAACCCATGATTGTTGGTTCGAATCCCGGTTCGCCCCGATTATGCTTCTAGGTTTGTCAGCACCATACCCGTGCTCGTGGGTTTCACCGAACTGGTAAACTTCTTAGACCTACATCACTTCGGGCTTTCCTCTTACATTAAGCTGACATCCCGCGATATAATTGGAATACTGTTACAAGCGGCGTTAAACCCAACTCACTCACTCACTCAATTCATCTGTTGTTCTGTATTTCTGTTGTTTCTGTAAAACAAACTCTATTCTCCATTAGGGAGACGCATGTTAGTAAAACATATTATGTGCCTTCATAAATTCACCAGACCCTAAATGCAACCGAACTGCGAAACGATTTCAGAAAGCACAGGACTATATATCTGAAAAATTCAGCCCGATCTATCCTACTTTACTGTTGACGCATTGAAGAAAAGTGAACACTCTCGTCATGTAAGGATTTCAGTCAGGATCAGGATGTTTGATTCAATGTTTCGCGGAGTCCAATACTGGGATATGTAACACTCTCCATCAAACAGCTGATCGTGGAACTGAATGTCTCCTTTCCGTCTTCCATTTACATCTTGTGAAACGAAATGAATTTAATTTGTTTGTAGCCTGTTACATGCATGGGTTGCTGAAGGCCATTTCTGACCCGGATCTTCACAGGATGGGGAGTAAAGGGGGGAGGAAGACTGAAAGAGATGTATTAGCTAGCATATGCTAAGCGGTTTGATCGTATTAGTGGTAAAGTGTGATATATTAGCGCCCTGTCGGGATTCCACAAGGTCAGGAAAATGGTGAAAGTAATTGGGTTTCTTTGTTTGAGTGGGTGCTTCCTGCTTTACCCTTGTCTTCCCGTGTTTTTAGGTGAACTTTTGACTTGCCTTTGCATGTGTTTGTGATTGGTGCCACCGTTAGGGCAGGACACACTCGCTTTTTCGCGGACACCTGTTTGCATCACTCGATTATTAAGAGACCGCCGTATAGCTGGAATATTGCTGAGTGCGGAGTTAAACAACAAACAAACCTTTGAGGAATTTACAACAATCACTATGACGAGGTATGCCTATCTTTCACTCAACCTGAATCCAGTTACTGGAATGTCAAACCCGGGATTGGTTAAAACAAGAATTGCAGTTAGATCCGCTATCTGTTGTAGATCTCCTTGTGTCAAGAGATGCAATAGCGAGGCAGAACTATATCAATTTATGAGGGACTGACAGCTACTCGAACATATTTAAACAGATCAGCCAAAGATAAAAATGAAATCATATCATGTACGAAAATAGAAATCATATTAAATCAAAAAGAGAAAGTGTATGAATACTAAAACTCGCAATAGATATGTGTACCCTACGCACACACATGAGTCCCATTCGACAGTCTACAACACACTAAAAACTGTCAAACAAGTTTGGGTACCGCTTGTGTTCAGGCAAGTTGTTTAGTTGTTTTATATTAAAATCCTTTTCAATTTGTTTTCTCCCTTTTTCCCTATTCCATTCCATGCATGTTTACGTTGCTACATCGTATTGCTCATGTTCCCAAGTATTATTAAACACTTTAATGTTTAACATTATAACATTTCAGGTCATTACCATAATCTAATACACAAGCGATGATACCAAGACATATCTTTTTCGGTTTTATGGCCTATGCTGTCTTAAAATTGATTTGATAAGTCTTTAAATCTTATGTCTAGTGCATATTTTCACAAACAGGGCCGTTAGCTGATATAAGGAATGTAACATCCAGTTGAGGACTGTATACGGCATATGTTAGTCTGTTAATGAACTTTTTACAAATAATATTTTCAATAAGCCGTTGATACTCCAGTTGTGACAGGGATGATGGTATGGTAGCTGTAGCAGACAGATTGACAGCCGTTATTTGTACGGCATTGGTCTTGTTGATTTTTACTATACTTTGAGGATTTCTGTGGCCAGTGGCGGACGTATTTCAAACTCCTTCAACACTGACAAGTGCATTTGTGTACT